GGAATTTTGGTTTCTATATTGTTGGTGTTATGTTGGTGTCACTAGATCAATGTCAAGGGGTTTCGAAATTCAACAAAAAGCTATAGATATTTTGTATGATTTGAAACAAAAGAAGTAGGGGAGAATTTTATCTAGTGAAAGAAGCAGGATATACACTTTTATGTTTTGGTTCAATAAATAATGAAGGGGCATTTATAGATATAGGATAATGTTTATCTCGTGAATGGTTTCTCCTTGTACTTGGTGATAACTCCATGGTTGTGAAACAAAATTTTCTTTATAAAAAAAGTTGTGGATGTAAAGATAGCTATGATATATCATGGTAGGTGGTTTTCTGACTTCATTTTGTACTTGTAGGTTGTGACATAATTATCAAAAAGGACAAGGGAGTATCTCGAATTCATGCCGATATTATTGTTGATGCCATGACTTCCTTGAATCCTCTAGCAAATAAATCTTCTAAAGTGTCCTCGAATGTCCGAATCAAGGATGAGTCAAAGTATGGAACATTTGTTACATCAGAATTTGGAACCAAAGAAAAGGTTAATGAGCTCCCGAATAAGGAAAAAGTTTTGAAAGATGGAGACATGATTACATTTGGAACTATTAATGCAAACTACAGGTAATTTCTGGGTGTTTCTTTTGTCTACAAGTTTGGTGAAACATCTTTTTTGGATCCCACACCACTTCCTTGGATTTACCACTAAGAGGAAGACCTAGGTATTTAATTGGAAGATTCTCACTTCTGCACCCCAAAGTGGTAGCTAATTCTTTATCCTCCCTAGTACCACGAATGCGGACTAACTCAGATTTTACCAAATTAATTTTTGAGGCCGAAACAACTTGAAAGCACAACAGCACACATCTAATATTAAGAAGATCCCTTGGACTTCGTCTATAAAATAAAAGAGTATCATCAGCAAAGGAAAAATGAGTCATCTCCACCTCCTCACTTGCCTTCCCCACCTTACGACCATTGAAAAGGTTTTGCTCTCTGGCTTTGACGAGCATTCCATTGGGGCCTGCTGTAACAGTGATAAATAACAACTGAAATAGTGTGTCCCCTTATCTTAGTAAGCCCCCTGAATGCTTTCGGAAAAGAAGAAGCACTACTGTTAATCCATCCCCGCCATTTATCTCTAATACCCGTTTTTTCATGTAAAGTAAGAATTTCAGTCAACATGGTCGTATGCCTTCTCCATATCCTATGTGTAGAGCACCCCTTCCTTCCCTTAAGCAAATAAATTAGAATCTTGTCAGCTAGCCGCATCAAGTATTTGTCTCTTGCTCGCAAAAGCATGTTGACCGTCACTCACCACTTTGGTTGATCAATGTTTCCAATTTCTCCCCGAGAATGGATTCCTTATCATCTCCTCTAGTGGTCCTTAGGATTAGGATCAGTCCTTAACCTCCTCAAGTTGGTTGGGTGTTGATGGTTCAATTGCAGAGGAGTTTTGGCTTGCGAAGGTCTCTGAATGGATAAAATGAGAATGAAATTAGTCTCTTTTATTCCTTTGACCATATTTTAGGTTATAAGGGAAGAAAATAATAGAAGAAATTTTGACAACACTTGCTCTCCTTTAAAAAATCATTGGTTCCAAGCCATACATTTTCTCCATTTGATCATCCATTTATTGGTGGAGAAGATCTTGGGAACCTCATAGATATTTTATCAAATAATTTTTTTGTAAAGGCTGTGTGTACATGGGCAGCATCCTCTTAGTGCTTTACGAATAATACTCCTTTTTTTTTTCAAACCAAGCCTATGTCTGTTCTGTTTGTTCCAGTGGGAGGACAATGCTTATCCGAGAAAAAGAAAGGATTGCTCAAAAAGCAAGGATAAAAAGGCAAGGTTTGTCAAAAAATTGGAAAAGAAACACAAAGGAGAAAGGATAAAGAGAGAGATAAAAACACATAATTTTTTTGCTTTTACCTAATTGCATGCTTATCTACCTACTCGTCTTCTCTATGAATAAGTTTTCCTTAGGTGTAAAAGCTGCATTGCGTTTCTTCTACTTTGTTTCAAGTGGCTTACATGTGTGTTTAACAAGTTAGCCCTGCAAAACGGGATGATTCACAATGTTGCTTTAGATTAATGCTTAATGTAAATTTCCTGCCTTGTTTTGGTTTGAATATAATCATGCTCTCTTCTAATTAAAAGTTAGCAGGTTTTGTTTTGTCCCATTCATATTTTTCATCTGCTGTTCGGACCAGTCTCAGAAGAATCATTCAGTTCAAGATAAAATTTCTTCAATTGGTTAGTGAGAAATTCCTTCTTTAACTAGCAATTTCTTGTATGTATTTTCTGCATGTTAAATAAGTAGCTTCTTTTAAATTCACCTGACTGCTGTTCTTCTTGCTTCTACATTGTGCTACCTAGAACATTACCTGTCATTTATGAGTATTGCAAATTGTACGCAAAGCTGCTAGTGGCCGTCACACTTGCAATGGACTTCAGTTTAAGAGGCCAAATCTGAAAGCTAAATGGATGTTTGGGAATTATCTTTTAATCTACTGGAGAGCAAGTAAAACTACAGGAAAATGAAGCTAAGACTACAAGTGGCATTTGTAATGGTCATTATGTGTTTTAGAGTATGAGGAATTCCTTCTAGGAAGTACTCACACCAACATAATATATTGTCTCAGATTTCGAATTTGACCTCATTTAAGAATATATTACGATTCTTCTTATCGGAAAGAAGAAGGTACTTCTCCCTGTTTGTTTAAAGAAAAAGGCAGTTTGATTGAGCAACTGCATGATCTGAGTGACTTATATATTTTTTCTGATTTTGATATGGCTTCAAATTTGCGAAAAATGTGATAGCTTTTCTTCAATTCACATGTCAAAAACCAAGTCAGTAAGATATTATCCTGCTCATGCCGCCAGTGCAATTTTAGTTAGCAGTTTTGGTCAGATGAGTAGAGGGTTTTGCTGGATCTAAGAATGTCATTCTTAGTAGTTGGACAATAACAAACATGAAGTAACTACAATAGTAATTAGTAAAATGCATTTTCTGATGTATCATTACTTTAATCAACCAAAACTGCTAACTTATTGATCAAATGTTGCTCCAAACTTATTGATCATGGTTTTTATGCACTAAGAAAACTTATTTGGTCATGGTCTTATGCACTAAGAAAATAATAAAAGAAGAGAGGATCCACCTACTTTATGGCTTTTATTTTTTGGATTCAGGGCCTTCTGATATTTATAATCCTCAATCCTTTTGTTGCTGATTTTAGAAATATTTTTGATAGTTTTTTGAGGGGATTGGCTGGATCCCAGCATTCTGTCTATTACCTAGAAGTTCATGTACAATTTTGATAATATGATACATCTAGCAGTTAACAACAAATTCTGTTTTTTTCTCAGCCTTTTGGCTAAGATCAAGTGTAATATCCGTTCTTATCAATTTAATAACAACAAATTCCATTTTATCGCAGGTGCTTCTGTTACTTCTATGCTGAGCCAAGAGTGCACCCATGTGCTTGTCGACCAAAACATGCTAGTTGACATGGATCTAGTTAATGCTATTGTGGCTAAGAAACCTTTGGTTCAAACCAGTTGGCTGGAGGTAGTCAAATATTACTATCCTGTACTCTTTTTCTTTGGACTATAATTACATCGTGGACTTTAAAATATTGAAGTTATTGCCTTCCTCCATAAGACTTGTGATTGTAGCTTTGACAAAATTATTTATTTTTTTTCACTAATAAACGTTAGGAGTAATTGTGGGTTCTTGTAATAAGTTTCTCGTAACAAATTCCTTGATATAGTTTTTTGAAATAAAAATGAGTATCTCTAGTGGTCATTTTAACAAAGCCTGTACAACAAAGAAGCCTTGTCAATTTTTTTTTTTAGAAAAAAGTTGTAATTGGTGAAATTCATTTTTTTTTATTTGTTATGGTGTTAAAGAGATGTAAGTCTGTAAACTTGGCCAGTATGTATGCCCTAAATCCCAGAAAATTAGCAATAATAAACAATGATTTTTTCAGACTTTTTTTCCCTCCTAGTAGAAAAAGTCAATAATTCATTTTTTTTGCACTCTTGAGTTGTTTGGATCTATGGCATAACATATAGACTTTTTTCATGATGGCACCATTTATGGTGGATGGGTTTCATGCAGGTAGCCATTTATAGGGGTTCTTACTGTCTTTGTTTCATGTTTCTTGACTGATTCATGAATATGTTGATTCATCTCAGTTTAATTAATTGTAGTTCAATTATATGATGATTCTAGAGCATGTTTTATTTCCCTCAATTCAAAAATATACTTCTCAATCAAATAGAAGGTATATGTATTTGTCTTCTGTGCAGCTACTTATTGCTGCATTTTCATTTAGTTTATGACAGGGCAAAGGATTGGCACTGAAATTCCTAGCTGCAGTGGGTAAGTATGATTTTCATTTTTTTTTCTCTGCCAGGCCAAGTTTTATGGCCCCTGGATTATAGAGCGTGAAGAAAAGTTTTCTCCAAGTTGATAGAAGCTTTTTCACCTTGTCGTTCCCTCTTGCCTCAGCTATACTCCGTCAGTAACAGTAGGAGGAGTATCAGTTAAAGTTGCAGATGCAAAGGCTCGTGGAAACTGTTTGGAAGGATACACATTTTTGTTAGAGTCAAGATGCACGGTAATATTTTGGTTATACAAAGGTTTGAGTATTTGCTCTCCAGAGCTAGCTTCACTAACTAGTCAATCCTGGCAGTAAATCCCTATGCATTTCTTTCTTTTTTATATATTTTATCTAGGAGTTTTTTGATGCTGAATCTGCACTAATACACACCTAAACACAATTGTCCTGCTTGTAAAAGACATTTAACACGGGAACTGCCTGTCATATAAATTGCCTTACCTTTGCAGGGGCATAATGCACAAATTATTTTATTCCCCTTTTCAAAATCTAATTAATGCTCAAAAGCGTGCCTTTATTGGTAGATTTAAAGTGAATACTACAGATGTACATCCATATATTTATTTACTGTTTTATTTTGGGTCTTGATGCAGTACAAATTTGGAGACAGATTCCGTTTTTTACTGGAAGTTGGTGGTGGAAAGACTCTATCCACTGAGGAATTTAGTTCCAATAGCCAGGTATATACTGAAATTCTAGCTTGTTTCTGTGTTAAAGTAGAGATCTTGAAGTGAGAATTTCCCCATTAATTCAAGATTTTAGAAAATTGGGCCCTGAGAAAATTCTTTATACTTACTCTTTCTCTTTGAAAATGTAACCAAATTGTTAAACGTCAGAATCAATGTGGTTCTTTTATTTTCCCATGCATTTAATTTTGCCCTTTTAGGTCATCTATTTCCTCCCCCTTTTCCCATATTATGGTATAGGCTTATGGATGAGACTCTGAAATTGTTGAGAAATGTTATCTTATTTTGACTCTCTCTTGTCATCATGTGATAACATTTTGCAATTCTTTTTCCTGCAATTGTCTCATGGTAATTTAAATCTTTTGAGTGTCTTATGACTGCAAGTCTGGGGAACCTTTATGTACTCATCATGTTTTTAATATATTTTAAAGTTTCTGGTTGTTTTTCTGGGTTTTTGAGTATGAACTGAAAGAATGACTATAATTGTGGAGACATGCCTATTACAAAGTTCTAATGTTGCATTTGAAGCTTTTGTATACTAGCTGCATCATCTTGGTGCACATTAATACTAGATACTTATTTTTTAAAAAACATTGCATTTAAGCTGTTATAGAAGCTAATATGATTTGTTATTAATTATTTTAGGACTCAGAGTATGGAGAGATGACTCGTGTAGTGTACGTCATATCGAAAGGATCAGCGAACAAGTTTGATTGTGTCAACAAACTCAGTTCATTATCTAGGGTGAATGAGATGGATTTAATATGTGCTGTCTTATCTGGAAATCTGGATCCTTCTGTCTTGATATCACCATGTGGTAGGTATTGGCATGCTGATAAAGTAAGTTTATTTGCTGTCTACTGACTCTCGTCGTACTATCTGCAGAGGGGTTATTTTAATTTAATCTTTCTGATGAACTCCTTACAGCTGAACTTTTTTCTAGTTAGTGTTTATTTACATTGTTGTCAGTTCAAATACAGTTGTCTATTACTTCCATCCTTTTTGTCGTTTCTTAATCCTAAAATCATGGACTAGAAAAGAAAATTACTAAAATCCCACATCATTCCTACCACATTAATTCCTATCTTCCTCCAAACAAATGACATTTTTATAAAGCTTGGTGAATACATGATTTAGAAAAGAATAGAGTATCATTCTTTTTTCTGAAATTAATTAATCAGCATAAGAATTTTGTAATGATGCACCATTTTGGTCAAGCATTTGATATCTTTCTGGAGCAGTGCTGGGATGAAAAAACTGATCTTGATATAATTATTAACTGTTTGTAGTGTTTATATCATCATCATGCTCCACGGATGAGACTGTGGTAGCAGAGTCTGATGTGGAAGGAGAAACAGCTGCTTCAGTTCCTGCAACTCATGTGGTTGCCAGCAAAGACACCCCTAGGTCTCCGAGAAAAGCTGGATCTATCGACCCTGAAGCTTCTAGATCAGATGACAAGACTGATATGATTATTGTTAGAGAGAACACCAGTGGTATGGTTGCAATAAGAGATAGAGTTGATGAATCTGGATATGCAAAAGTAGATGATAGTGGTGGTATGGTTGCAAGAAGAGATAGAGTTGATGAATCTGGATATGCAAAAGTAGATGATAGTGGTGGTATGGTAGCAATAAGAGCAAAGTTTGATGAATCTGAGGATGGAAATTTGGATATTATATACAGCCAGGATTTAATTGTTAGAGATTCAAAATTGACTCTCACAGTCAGTTCTATGGCAAATAAGGAAGTTGTAAATTTCAAACGCTTCAGGAAGGTAATAGTCTTTTATCTTTTTCCTCATTGGTTAACATATATTTATGCTTGACAAAATGCAACGTCTAATATTTTGCTAACTCGTTTACATTTTCTGGTTTTTAATTCTGGTTACTGGTACTGTTAAAAGGAAGCCTTTTACTTTTCCTTTTTAAAGAGAACCCAGTTAAATCAAGGCCAACTTTCAAGTGCTTATGGTTAATGTTGCAGATCAGTGGATATCTGTTTTGTAAAGAACCTAATTCTTACATGTCTGAGTAGAACCAGATCTTAATTTGGAATAGGTCTTCTTTCAAAGAAATCTTTTGTAACTATTATTATTATTATTTTATTTTTTTAAGTTGTTTAAATTTATTTAGACATTTTACTATTTTAGTTTTTTCAACTAGATTTCTTTTAAAAACATAGGTAGATTTAAGGACTTAGAATCTTTTAAGTTTTCTCTTTCATAATTTTTCTTGTTAATTGTAACTAATGCATATAAAAAGCCTAGTTGCTGCCAACAAAAGAGAGAATAGATGAAGTAAGATTTGTTTTGCTAGAATTTTATTTGCTGTTATCTTTCTGTATTTGTTCTGATTATTGTTCTATTTCTCCTTATACTTTTTTCACCTTGATTTCTAATTTTCTATAGGCTATCTTTCTTTTTCTATTTTTTTTTTCTAAATATGAGACAAGTTAATTTAAATGTTACTCATCCGGCCTCACAGTCTTATAACAATTTGTGGTGCCATTGCATTCTAAGCATTATGTATATCAACTAAAATATATAATTGCCAATTGTCAGTGCTGTTGCCTTTTGAGTACCTTATGTCATCCTAAAATTAATTTTGAGTAATTTTGCTATCTAATTTTTGCGCTAAGTATTGGATCTTGGAGTGCTGCTGTTTATCCTTTCATTCAAAAACTACTCTTTTCTTTCTAAATTATCCGATGAACTGAAATGAGCTTGTAGATGCACACTGAACCTGGGAACAGCTTTGGTAGTCTTATTCCTTTCTCAAAATATCCATACAAGTAAGATACATTTCCACAAGCACAAATTATTTTTCTCTCATATATCCAGAACATCATATGTTAATATTGTCCGCTTTTGCTTGTTGACATCAGAGATTCTGACTATGAAAATGGGACCATGGCTGAATCTGTGAAAGAAGAGAAAAAACGGAAGCAGATGGAAGCTATTGCTGAAGACTTATTTAACAGTGAAAAGGTCAGTGATGGAAGTAATTTTTTTTTTTTTCCGAGACAAGTGGTGCAAGTCAATGTAAGTAACTTGAGATAATTCTTCTAACATATGCTTTCTTTTCAAATTTTTGAAGGGAAGACGGCGTGGTGTAGCTGGCTCCATTCATGGACTTCTTACTCGCAGTTAATTATGGTGAACCAGTCATGTGCTTATATGTTGAAGCTGTGAAATTACATGGTAAAGGCAAGGTTGTTTTTACTATGAAGGCAGGACGATTATGTCGGTAATGATGCATCTCTCATCTTCTTATACTTTAGGAGCCTTGATAGTTTCTTGAAAACCCAAGGCGCTTTTGACTGGGTACCAAGTCCTAAAATTCATGATTGTTGTGGGATTGAATGTTGATGCATAGAGTAATAATGATAGAAAGGCCTCTTTTGCAGGTGAACATCTTGAGCCTAGAACCATTTGCAGCAGGTTGCCAGTTGGTCCAGTTTTGAAGATGTCAAGGATGCCCTTTTGTTCCTCAAGTTCTGTGAGTGTGCGTGTATATATATATATATATACATATATATAATACATATGTATTATTTTGAGGAACTCTTATGTGAAATATTTAGGTAAAGAATTCTGTCAAGTAGAATGAAATGTGTTCTTAGAAAGTCGAACTTCAATTAGGAATCGGAACCGAAATGTGATACAAATGATATGAAGATTGGAATGACTTGATTTTTAACTCATGGTGAATTCAGTTTGTAAATCAAAATATGTGAATTGAACCCTAAAGAACTCAAAGGAATGGGGAAGGGATGAGGTTAGACACAAATCTAAAATGATATAAAAAAGTATGTTATCATTAAATGACTTTGGACTTGTCAAAGGAGAGAACGGGCCGACTCTTCTCATCTCATCTTTGTCAACGACGCCTACCTAACCCACACCCCATGTCAATGCTCTGAAAATTCTTCTTTTTTCTCCCTCGATTACTTTCACTCATTCAGTCTATACATATATCTATATCTTTATATATATATATATATATATATATATATATATATATATATATATATATATCCAGACTACTCTACAAGAACATGTACGAACCACAGACCTTGAGATATTACAGTTTCATTTCCTTGCGGTACAAGTAATCTTAAAATTTTATAAGTAGCTCCCCTCGCCATAGCCAAAACCAAAAACCTATATAAATCCAAACCTAACATTATACAGATATATGTACATACCCATTATACCAAGTTCGTAGCCATGTTAATGATGAGAATGGTAGTCAAAACCCTGACCCACTGCACATGGCTTATAATCATGGCCGCCATGTTAACATCCACACAGCCCACCATCTCGGAATCCAGGCCTCCGGTGCTCGACACTGCCGGAAATCCCCTTGAAGCCGGCGCCGAATACTTCATTCTCCCCAGCCGAAGGTGCGGCGGCGGCCCTTTGGCCCTCGTTAGCCGCAATGAATTATGTCCGCTCTTCGTGGGTCAAGAAAACGACCCGAGTTCACCAAGGTTTCCGGTGGTGTTCAAGCCGTTCGTGGAGGGAGAGAAGGTGGTGAGAGAGTTTAGTGATTTCAGGGTTCAGTTCGCGTCGATCAGCATCTGCATTCAGTCGACTCAGTGGAAGGTGGTGAGTGGGGAGAAGAGGAGATTGATTGGGACTGGAGGAGGGGAAGAAGCTGCATCGTTTTTCAGGATTGAGAAGAATGAATCGGACGGTGGATATAATCTGGGATGGTGTCCGACAGATGTTTGTCCACTTTGCAGGTTTGACTGTGGAAAAGCTGGTGTTTTGATGGAGAAGGAGACGAGGTTGTTGGCGTTGGATGACGTACCTGTTCTTTCTGTCGTATTCAAGAGGGCATGATACTTCATATATATACATATATATATATATATATATACTCCATACTATGTACATCTAAAATCACTGCACCCCATTTATACATATATGTATAATTTGACAATGTATGGATAAAATTACATATATACATACACTGCAATATGGGGCGGGAATATTGGTGTATGAAAATATCCTTGTTATAATAAATGTATGTGTCATATAATCAATTAAATATATATTTTTTTATTTAAAATGTATGATAATATAAAAATGTTTTTTGCTAAAAATTTATTTTAAGGAATTTAAATTGGTTGAAAATAATTAATATATCTTATACATAAAGGACAATTTGTGTGCCAAACGAGCAAAAAGGGAGATCTATATATATATATATATATATATATATATATATATATATATATAGACACACACACATACATATATACACACATATATATACACACGCACACATATATATATATATACACATCACATCTTTAGAAGACTTATATATATGGATTAGGTACACTATATATATATATATATAATGTTTTTGACTAAAATTCCCACCATGCAATTACTCGAACACAAAAAATTGTGCAACATATATATATATATATATATATTCATTAGTTACTCATTTAATTCACATCCTAAAAATTTGTATATATGATAGTTATGCTGCTATAATTTTTTATGCAAATAGAACACTTTTAATATATGTATGTATGTATATATATATATATATAAGCATTATTGTTTGGACCATGTAAACGTTTTTTTTTTCTTTGACTTAGTGCAGATTTTTGTTGGTTGATATAGCACTATCAAAAGTCTTCAACCTGATTATTATTCTTATTATTACTATTATATAATCTCTCAACATCCTCAAAAAAAAAAATATTAATAATTAATAATAATAAGAGTAAATTATTTAGTTATTAAAATTTGGTATGTGTTATAATTTAATTTTTAAATTGTTACAATTTGATTATTAATATTTTTTATTTATTTCGATCGTCATTTTTTTTTCTATTTTTCAATTAAAAAAGTGAAAATTGTTTAATAATATTTAAATACCTTAAAATATAGTTCAACAGAAAGAAATTTTGCTAATTAATCAAATAAATATTATTAAATATTTAAATATTATCTAATTTTTTAATTAGAAAAATAGAAGAAAACTGGGTATTTAAAATAAATAATAAATATTAGAAAAATAAATTATATTAAGTGTTAAGTTTTAAAAATTAATTTGATAATTTATAATAATAATAATAAGAGTGGATAAAAAGAACAAAGAAGAAGGTGAAATAATGACGGCATGCATGAGCTCAGTCTCATGTCATTAAAGTCATAGAGGTTAGGTTAGGTTACTTTGAATTTTTTTCATATGAATTTATTCAAAACATATTACATCACACATAGTAATTTTATAAAAATGTTTAAATAAATTGAATTTAGAATTAAAATAATATTTTATTCAAACTTCTTTTTATCCTATAAAATTAACTTTGAATTATACTATATATGTATATATAATGGGCTTATGATTATATCAAATACTTTTGAGAATAAGGGAAATTAATATATAATTTCACAAGGGGTTTTAAATTGGTATAAGTAAAGAAAAAACGACATTGAGTATTGCCAAAGAAATATATATGTGCATATATCTATATATATATATATATATACACGCACATGTATGTCTCTTCTATTAAAAAAAAAAAAGTAAAGAAATATAGTTAATGATGTCATGAGCTTAAATTAAAAAACAATACAAGAGTTGTTTAAAGTGATAAGTTAAACCTTTAAATAAATTTTAAAGTGAATTTGATTTAAATTATGTGTTTTTATCTATTTTACTTAAAAATTTATCTGTATGTAAAATTTTATATATATATACATGTGTGTGTGTGTGTGTATACAAACACACACATATATATATATATATGCTTATATATAAAACGACAGAGAAACAAATGTGTTATGGGTTAATCTATTGATTGATTGCCAAAAATAAGAAAGGACGAA